CATTATACAAAAAGCCTCATCGACTTTGGACTAGTGTACAGGCTACGCTCGCTTACATGGCGCCATCCACTTGTGCTTTCTGCCTCCAGAAAACCCAGAGATAACTAACTTGATGTGTCGGTTTGTACGAATGTTCGGCTGCCGGTGCGTTTGTATGTCTATCCGCAGCTAATGCAATGAGCCAATGACCGACCTCACAGGTGAAAAAGAACACAACGGAAGGCGAGCATTTGCGGGAAAGGGAAGTCCCGGTATTAAGTTGTCCTAGAAGCTTTCTCTCTTGGTGTCACTCAATGAGGTCCTTAGAGGCTCCAAAAAACCTAGAGAATAATCTAAGTTGTCGCAAAAATGTACGTATCACTTCATAGAAAAAACAGTAAAATTCTCTTCCTGTCCTTCTCGACCAGCTTCAAGCTCGATTTCTTTTTCATTTACTACCTTAAACTTTGGGAAGTATTCCTGCACCCTGCTTTTGAGAGAGAGCCCGATATCATGATGGTATTTTCTTTGATGAGATTTTTTCAGGATGGGCACAAGCGTCACCACTGACTGCGGTGGCTAAAGATCCGGCACCAGCTCCGGCTCCAGCTCCTGCACCAGCTCCGGCACCAGCTCCGGCACCAGCTCCTGCCTGCGCACCCGTATGTTCCTATATGCAAAAAGCATTGTTTAGCTAAAAAATACGTTTTGTCGCATGAAGTTTGAAAGCGTTGCTCAAAGGATAACTTCTTCCCTCGTCATTTTCGTTGAAGTTCTTCTAAAAAACTCAAATAAAATCAACGGAGGCTTGAACAATAAAAACAACAATTCCTCGTACGCTGGCTCCTGAAAGTGAGCATTTCGAGTAATCGTATTGGTTCCACGGCTTATTCGGCCGCTAGAGAGTGCTGGTTTACGAATAGTGGATGTCAATCGGTATTGGCGAGTTGCGGAAAATGACTGGGAAAAGGACTGCCTCACCAACAGCACTACATGAAGTTTTCGTTGAAAACATCAACCAGTTCCATTAGAAGCTCGCATCACCTGTATCACCTGTCGTCCCGTTGATCGTCGATTTGCTCGAGCGGGCGCCAGCAACGTCTCCATTCGTCCCTGTCGCGTGCAAGAGTGGTCCAGTGGATCCTCCTCGCTCGAGGGACACGAAGCCCTTCATTCCTTTCGTTCAGAGCTTTCGTGAAGAAGTCTGACCATCGGGCCGGCGGTCGTCCAGGTGTTCGTTTCGAGGGATCCAGTCGGTAACCGCTCTGGTCCAACGGTCATCGCAAAATCGCATGACGTGTCCGGCCCACCTTATCTTCGATTCCTTGGCGAAAACGCGTCCCTGATCTTCGATCGTTGGCGTAGTTCGAACTCCGGATTCCCCTCTGCACTTGCGTGTATAGGGTTACTCCTAGCATCGTCCTCTCGACAGCGCGTTGGATAACGCTGACCGCATGCTCGTCCTGCCTGCGCAGAGTCCAAGTCTCTGAGGCGTAGGTTAGGGCAGGAAGGACAGCGGAATCGAAGAGGTGGGCACGGAGCCGGATGTTCTTCGTCTTCTTCACTACTCCCTCGATGTTCTTGAACGCTCCCCATGCCGCTCGTTTCCTCCTGCTCAGCTCTGGAGCTAGATCGTTCATCATATTGATTTCCCGACCTAGGTACACGTAGCTGGAGCATTCGGTGATGTTCGTTCCGTTGAGCGTGAATGGGGCATCAGGAACCAATCTTTTCTTTCTTTAGAACTAATCTTTAGAATTTCTCATAAACATCGTCTTCGTTAGGTTCAGCTGTAGACCAACCTTACCACAGGCGCAGTCGAAATCAGCCAGCATTCGCTCCGCTTGCTCGATGTTCGGCGTTATAAGAACGATGTCGTCAGCAAAACGAAGGTGGTGTAGTTGCCGGCCGTCGACCTTCACTCCCATGTCTTCCCATTCCAGTTGACGCATGACGTTCTCGAGAGCGGCGCTGAAGAGTTTGGGCGAGATGGTGTCGCCCTGTCGAACCCCTCTCTTGACGTCGATGATGACCTCCTTGTAGAATGGTGAGATCCTGGTCGTAAAGTTGCTGTAGAGCTCACGAAGAATCCTTGATGTACTGAGTAGGGACGCCCTGGTTGCCCAAGGCTCCGATGATCGCGTCCGTTTCCACAGAGTCGAAGGTTATGCACGCATATCGCCCAATGAGAGAACTCGCTATGCCCAGTGTTACTAAAGCCTACTTTGCCGCGCGGTAGTGGTAACAGATTTGATGGGCAGCACTCCTGAAAACCCTACTCCAGGCGAAAAGGCTTGTTGTATCCACATTTCGATGTCAACATATCGAAATGGGCTGGTGATGCGTGACGCTGTCTAGTAAAGAATATTTTGGTCTATTTACGTAGTAGGGAATATTGGTCCGAAATGATTTTATCTTGATATTGGTACATGGGCTTAACGCGATAGCAACGGTACTGACTGGTGACCGTGGGCTGAGACACTAGAGGCGCAGGATATAACTCATACCTCCCCCTCTCCACTTGTTTAACGAGACGTCTCTTCAGGTTTCGCTTGTCAGACGTGGCGATGACCAGAAAACGGTTTCT